AAAGCAAGATTATTTCAATATAATTTTTATTTTTAATTCTTATTACAAAAATTTCTAAACGCTTCTGCACCAGAACAAAGTAGTCTTTTGAGTGTATATGCTTCGATACACTGAATCAAATGTTTGAATTATGTGACAGAAACTATCCAGTTTTGATACTAATGGTGAGACTACCTAATATTAAAGCATTGATTCATGCATGTGCAAAATGATCTCGAACCATTTTGCTCCTAAATTTTCACGTATATATGGTACTCTGAGCTTGACAGGATTGGACAGGATGATAGATGTATATCTCAATTCCTTTCTTTCTTTCTTAGTTTTCTTTAGCCCAATGTATCAATCATACTCTGTTTATTACCAATCTCACATTCTGTGGATGTTACTAACAAGGTCGTGATGTAGTGAAAGAATAGTGAAAGCATGCCCATGTCTTACTTTTTTGAAAAATTATTTGTCAGCGTTTGTGTCCCGTGAGGTGCAACCTGTGTCAATGAATTTAAGACGATCGAATTCACAGAAGTCATGACCTCTAAACATACTTCTGGGTGTATGAATTATTTCAATCTAAGTTATACTTACTATTTGCTGTCTTTTTGGAATACATATCAAATGACTGATTTTGTAGTGCCAAATAACATAAATATTTGGTTGGATTATTAAACACGAAAGTATTCTGTGCAATTCTTCAAGAATAGGTTTCTCATAAAAGGCAAACTATCTAAGAAAGTATTAATAAGAATATTTCTATGTATCAGCATTTACTGATGACACTAGACAGTATTAAAAATTCCTGTCAAATACATCAATGCCTTCATCATGGCCCGTCAAATTCCTGATCCAGTTGTTGATCTTCTCAAATTTGAAAGGCTTAAGTTTCTTTCTTTACAATTTCATTCAGTTTCCGAACTAATTGATCCCCTATCTTGGCTAATAATCAGAATAACTTCTTTGAAGAACAATTCTTTGTACAGTCCATCCAGCATGATATCAACCCTGCAAAACCTGCATCCCTTGGCTGTGAAATCTCCGTTTCTCGTCTTTCCATAACTCTCAAGAACTCGTCGGAGCTTAAACTCCCATCTCGATTTGCATCGAACATGTAAAATACCATGTTGACCACATTATCAGAGAGGGATATGCCACAAACCTTGTGTCATATGCACAAGTTAATCAGTATACGAGTGATAATATCTATAATAGAGAATGCATAGCACACTAAATAGTAATTATTGTAATGGAAGAGAAGCATTTGTAATATATACTTGATCGGCAGCTCTTTTGAAGTCTTTCTTTGACAGTAGTCCATTCACTTCTCCATAACTAAATATGGCCACGGAGAAAGGCTGCAATCTTTTGCGAAGCTCAGCAAAATTCTTGAATTCTTCAAATGTAAAACGAAAGTCTTTTAGAGATGGCTCCTTGTTTAGTTCATCAACTCGATCGAGAAATTTGTTTATATATCTCATATCAGCAGATGCAACCATAGACAAGGCAAAATCTTTAGCAGAAATAGTTCCTTGTGACTTACAATCATAATGAGCAAACTCCAATCTCAGCATCTGTAGAAGCCGAAAAACCGAAATTTCGTAATTATTTGTGTTCATAATACCTCATATAATCTTGATGCTGCCACCTCATGTGGGCATATATTCTCAAATTATTATCATTTTAGTATGCCCGCATATGATATCACAAGAGAAAAATAGTACTATAACCAGATTGAACAAAGATTATTGGATTTTAAGCATTTCAAAATGTATGCAAAAAACAGTTTCAAGTCCAATATCAAGAAGTAAAGCAGAGAACAAGAGACTGTAAAATACATACTTCACCATGCAAGTCTCTCAAGAATTGGACAAATTTTTCATGTTCAAGGCGTTTGCTTCCATCACTGCCAAAGAAGTACTCTAGAAGACCACCATCCTCCACAGATCCAGAAACTTTTAATCCGATCCTAAGTCCATCTCTATGACAAGCCCCTTGTCTATTAAATGTACGCATCAGCCCCATCACTTTCTTAAATTCTTCCTTGTCTATACTTCTGTATAGCAGATAAAAACTCTTTGATAGTAAGAAAGATGAGCTCCTGTGATGTTGGAGTTCAATATAAGTCAGTTCCTAAGTTAGATATACCAACTTACCCATCATTATCAAGATCAAACATTTTAAATGCAACAGAAAAGCTCGACTCGGGAATGCTCAGTATGGTAAGGAAAAAGATGTACCTGTAACAGCGAAAACATATAAAAACCGATTACTTAATAAATTTGATAACTGATGTTGCATTTTAATGATTTTTCTGGAAAGAGTGTAAACAGTGGTGTATGAAAATTTTGATAGAGATACTAACTCTGGGAATGATATAAGTCCATCGTTATTGGTATCAAAAAGCATGAAGAATTGTGATGGAGCACACTGTAACTCACTAGTAACCCATTCCCCTTTCAAATGTCCCCCTCTAACACTGTCTGCTTCTGATGGAGGAAATACAGGAACAGCTGCTCTCATTAAGTCTGCTGGTGTCATGTACATTTCTCCCGAAGGGGTTCTAAAAGACGCGAAGTATTCAAACACCTGAAATAGAGAAATACACAGAAACAAATTTTTGATCATGGATCGTCATGAAGAGAAAATGCCGGCACTTTATCCCACATTAAGAAGTTTGATTTTTAAGGCAGATGATAGATCATCAATTTTTTTAAAAAAAATCTACAAAAACTTCTATAAAAGCTTTGTCAAACAACCCTTAAATTAAAGCTGAACATCAATGAATAACGAACCTTTTCAGGAGGACTTCGCATTCTCATTCTTTTTTCATACTTGAAGAAAACTTTTCTCCTGTATGTATCTGAAATTTTAGAACGACGAGAAAATGATAACTCAAAATCTTGATTTTTGGAGACCTAATGGAGATGTAATGTATCTATTAATCTTCATCTTTTCGAGTTTTTTCCAATTCAACTCATCAAACTTTGTCCTCAATTAATGCTGCGAAAACTTATAGACAAACAAGAACTGAATGTAGATAATTATCCGTAATCACGTAAATATTATACCTTTGAAGATGAAACTAGACTTCTTTTCGGATTCAGAAATCCCAATTCCAGAATCAGCATAAGATACAAATGATGAATCTGTATTAGAGAATGAAGAACAGTAGCTGGAGACCCCAACAATCACCAAGCCAGAACCAATTGATCTCAAAACTGAATCAAGAAATGAATAACCCTTCTCATTATCACCATAATTATAACTTTTAGTACCCTTCGATTCCAATAATAATGGATTGTCTGATGATTTTCTGAAAACTTGATAAGAATTCCTACTTTGAGTTGCGAAAACTCGAATTTGTTTTGCGGGTTTTTTCAGCAATGCCCAAGAATGCATAGTATATCAATTTTCAAAGAACAGAAGAACAATCTGGCTTGGAAAGGGTTGTAATTTATGGCTATAAAAAAATGAATTTGAATATATATGAGGTGAGAGAAGAAAATTGGTGTGGATATGTTGGAGCGAGAAAGGCGGTGCTGAGACTCGTTCTTAACGGTCTTCAAGGTAGTTTGTTTCTGTTTCTCAAGATGCATGGTGTTTTGGATATCAATTTTTTTTTTTTTTTTTTTGTATCCAACAAAATTAAAGCAATGTCTCGACAAAGTCGACTAAGCAGTTGATATTCTCTTTTTGAGAATTTCAAAATGATCACTAGACACTAATGGATAATCCTAGCCGACCCATCTTCCCATCTTCATGTTGTCTAATCGCACTTGCACACGTGACTACTTAATTTGAAATAAAAAAAAAATCTTTACAACTCAAAACTCGGGTCGTGAGTGGAAAATCGGTTTTTTTTTTTCTTCATATTAAAGCAGACAGATACTGTCAAACATTTCGTGAAATAAGTTGTTTCCGAAGGTCTTATCATATGACACTTGTTTTTTTTAGGAAAATCCTTATAACTCAAAATACGAATTCTAAAATTCGCATTAAAATCTCAAAATTTCGTAGAATCAATGAATTTTCACTCTCCATTTCTTAGCATATGCTCCAAGACGAGGTAGATGAAACAAACGTGGTAAATGTTTTTCATCTTTTTACTTTTGTTTTGTATGTTTCTATTTTGAAGGTTGAAAGGATTCGCTAACTGGGTCTTTTTTTTTCAGATAATCGTGAGGAAATAGATACTTTTATTGATAATCATCCAGTGACTTAATTGGATGAACGTAATATAGCTAATTACCTATTTAATGAATTGTGTTAAATATATATTTTTCTATCTAATTTATTATTAATTCAATCATTTTATTATTATTTTTTTGTATACCTTTGAGAATATGTGAAATCAAATGTTATCTAACCTTTTCACGTAAATGTCAATGCATATGCAATGTGCAGAACACTTTATCCAATGTAATACTCACTTTTTTCCGAAATATTTCTATTATTTTGATGTAGAAATGGTGCTTGAAACTTATGGAACATTTGAATAAGTGAAACTTCGTGGAACAGTCGGATATTGTAATATGTTAATTCTGTGTTTATTTTTTAAGAGTTTGAATTTTAGACGATTGTAATATTTCTAATTTATTTAACTAATTTTTTTTT